GGGTCAGGGTAGGTTTGGGATCAATAAGGGGGAAGGGGGTGAGGTCATTTTGGGGGGGGAGGGGGGTCGGGGGGGGTTTTGGGGGGGTCGGGGTGGGATGGGGATCGGGGGGGGAGGGGGTGAGGTCATTTTGGGGGGTCAGGGAGGGTTTAAGGTTAAAACTGGGGTTGGAATAAGAGGGTTTTGAAGGTAAAATTGGGCTTGACATCAAATTTAGAAGTTCAAACTGGGCTTGACACCAGGGGGTTTTAAAGTTAAAATTGGGCCTGATATCAGGAGGTTTTAAATGTAAAACTGGGCTTGACATCAGGAGGTTTTAAAGTTAAAATTGGGCTCGACATGAGGAGGTTTTAAAGTTAAAATTGGGTCTGATATCAGGAGATTTTAAGGTTAAAACTGGGCTCGACATCAGGGGGTTTTAAAGCTGAAACTGGGCTTGACATCAGGAGGCTTTAAAGTTAAAATTGGGCCTGATATCAGGAGATTTTAAAGTTCAAACTGGGTTTGACACCAGGAGTTTTTAAAGCTAAAATTGGGCTTGACACGAAAAGGTTTTAAAGTTAAAATTGGGGATGATATCAGGAAGTTTTAAAATGGGGCTCGACATCCAGGAGATTTTAAAGCCAAAACTGGGCTCGACATCCAGGTGGTTTTAAAGTTAAAATTGGGCTTGAGAGCAGGAGGTTTTAAGGTTAAAACTGGGCTTGACATCCAGGAGATTTGAAGTTAAATCTGGGCTCAGCATAGGAGGTTTTAAAGTTAAAATTGGGCTCGACATCAGGAGATTTTAAATATAAAATTGGGCTTGAGAGCAGGGGGGTTTTGAGGTTAAAATTGGGCTTGACATCAGGAGGTTTTAAATGTAAAATTGGACCTGATATCAGGAGGTTTGAAGTTAAAACCGGGTTTGACGTCCAGGAGGTTTAAAGCTAAAATTGAGCTTGACATCAGGAGATTTTTAAGGTTAAAATTGGACTTGACATGAGGAGGTTTTAAGGTTAAAACTGGGCTTGACATGAGGAGGTTTTAAGGTTAAAACTGGGCTCGACAGGGCCCCTGAATCCCGTTGTTCCCGTCCATCCCGGCCTTACCGACCCTGTTTTCCTCCCACAGGGGCGACCACCGGCAGGACCGTCGCGAGAGGCCCTACTGAGACCCCTCCCCCACCCCAAAACCCCTCCCCCACCCTCGTTTTTTATTTGGTGTCCCCTCCCCCCCCCTCCGCCCCTCCCCCCGCGGGGTGACCCCGCTTTTAAACCCCGCCCCGCCCCCAATAAAGGACATTTTTGGGGGGAAAGGAGACGTTTTTTGGGGAGAAATAACTGTTTTTGGGAAGATGGGACTGATTTTGGGGGGAAGGAACCGTTTTTGGGGGGAAGGAGCCGTTTTTGGGGG